GGACTTCCCAAACCTTTAAATCGATTTATCTCCTTAATTAAGGCTCTAATCGCGATTTGGGGGGTGTTCAGATGCTCGAAATTTTCATACCCAAATTTCCCAGTATAAAATATTCCAAAATTCTTTTATTTGTCGGCCGGTGGACTTCCCAAAACTTTAAATCGATTTATCTCCTTAATTAAGGCTTTAATCGCGATTTGGGGGGTGTTCAGATGCTCGAAATTTTCATACCCATATTTCCCAGTATAAAATATTACAAAATCCTTTATATATTGGCCGGTGGACTTCCCAAACCTTTAAATCGATTTATCTCCTTAATTAAGGCTCTAATCGCGATTTGGGGGGTGTTCAGATGCTCGAAATTTTCATACCCAAATTTCCCAGTATAAAATATTCCAAAATCTTTAATTTGTCGGCCGGTGGACTTCCCAAACCTTTAAATCGATTTATCTCCTTAATTAAGGCTCTAATCGCGATTTGGGGGGTGTTCAGATGCTCGAAATTTTCATACCCAAATTTCCCAGTATATAATATTCCAAAATCTTTTATTTGTCGGCCGGTGGACTTCCCAAACCTTTAAATCGATTTATCTCCTTAATTAAGGCTCTAATCGCGATTTGGGGGGTGTTCAGATGCTCGAAATTTTCATACCCAAATTTCCCAGTATAAAATATTCCAAAATCCTTTATATATCGGTCGGTGGACTTCCCAAACCTTTAAATCGATTTATCTCCTTAATTAAGGCTCTAATCGCGATTTGGGGGGTGTTCAGATGCTCGAAATTTTCATACCCAAATTTCCCAGTATAAAATATTCCAAAATCCTTTATATATCGGTCGGTGGACTTCCCAAACCTTTAAATCGATTTATCTCCTTAATTAAGGCTCTAATCGCGATTTGGGGGGTGTTCAGATGCTCGAAATTTTCATACCCAAATTTCCCAGTATAAAATATTCCAAAATCCTTTATATATCGGCTGGTGGACTTCCCAAACCTTTAAATCGATTTATCTCCTTAATTAAGGCTCTAATCGCGATTTGGGGGGTGTTCAGATGCTCGAAATTTTCATACTCAAATTTCCCAACATAAAATATTCCAAAATCTTTTATATGTCGGCCGGTGGACTTCCCAAACCTTTAAATCGATTTATCTCCTTAATTAAGGCTCTAATCGCGATTTGGGGGGTGTTCAGATGCTCGAAATTTTCATACTCAAATTTCCCAACATAAAATATTCCAAAATCTTTAATTTGTCGGCCGGTGGACTTCCCAAACCTTTAAATCGATTTATCTCCTTAATTAAGGCTCTAATCGCGATTTGGGGGGTGTTCAGATGCTCGAAATTTTCATAAACAAATTTCCCAGTATAAAATATTCCAAAATCCTATATATATCGGCCGGTGGACTTCCCAAACCTTTAAATCGATTTATCTCCTTAATTAAGGCTTTAATCGCGATTTGGGGGGTGTTCAGATGCTCGAAATTTTCATACCCAAATTTCCCAGTATAAAATATTCCAAAATCCTTTATATATCGGTCGGTGGACTTCCCAAACCTTTAAATCGATTTATCTCCTTAATTAAGGCTCTAATCGCGATTTGGGGGGTGTTCAGATGCTCGAAATTTTCATATCCAAATTTCCCAGTATAAAATATTCCAAAATCCTTTATATATCGGTCGGTGGACTTCCCAAACCTTTAAATCGATTTATCTCCTTAATTAAGGCTCTAATCGCGATTTGGGGGGTGTTCAGATGCTCGAAATTTTCATACCCAAATTTCCCAGTGTAAAATATTCCAAAATCTTTAATTTGTCGGCCGGTGGACTTCCCAAACCTTTAAATCGATTTATCTTCTTAATTAAGGCTCTAATCGCGATTTGGGGGGTGTTCAGATGCTCGAAATTTTCATACCCAAATTTCCCAGTATAAAATATTCCAAAATCTTTAATTTGTCGGCCGGTGGACTTCCCAAACCTTTAAATCGATTGCATCATTTCGATCCCGGCGGTGACTTTACCGACGAAAACCACAACTGCTCTTGGGAAGAATTTGATATGGATTTGCAATCAACACGTTTTTTTTTTCTAAAACTAAAATATCAAATTATGAAAGAAAATCGATATAAACTCTTTTAGATTGAACCCATAATTTTCTGCTCAATAGGCAAAATCGGTCGCCACTAGGCCACTGAGATCCTTGTATCATAAAACAATTACTATTACTAGATTTCAGTCCCGGCGACGACAACAACTACTCTTGAGAAGGGTTTGATATGGATTTCCAATCAACACGCCTTAAACAGACGATCTTCTATTCAGCAAGCTAAAGTGGCAGTCATCAAGCTAGCCAAGTAAAATTATTTTTTTGAGACGTTAAATTTAAACAAATAGCTAGACCGGATCTCATCTCAATGATCTGCAATTAGCTGGCATACTAAAGTTTCATAAGCTTAAAATCAATCGCTCTTCCGCTTTTATATAAAAAAATACTAAAAAACTACAAGGAACGCAATGGTGACGTAGGAATACGTGGTCTTATATAATACAAATTATTTGTTAACTGCAGCAGGAGCTTGTGTTTTGTGTAGGAATGGGAATTTGAGCGGCGATCTCTCTGTTTATACTCTTTAGCATGACGCGCTTGGCATAGATGGCCCACAGCGATTCACGAAGAGCTACTGATTTCGATCAATAGCGGTGCAGCTTCTTCCTCTTTCTATGGATGCTCATGTGGGCTGCAGCTCACTGCTTGCAGACAGCCTTTCGTTGTGTACTGGAGAACACCACCACTCACCACGCGGTGATTGAATAAACACTGTTCGGTGAGACCGGTTGGAATTCAACTTTGAAATCTTTTTTTTCCTTGATTTATTTTCCGTCGATCTTGTTTTCCATGCTGAGCACTAATGCTACCGACGCCAGGGAGGCAGCTCCCACACCTGGACCTATCGACCCATCAACTCATGAACCGGGGACCAACGGCTTTACTTCGTAAGCGTGATCAGAGATATTATGCCTCAGAACATCCCGACGGTGTCGACTGGGATTGAACCCAGGCCTGCTGGGTTGAGAGGTAATCACGCTTACCACTACACCACCGGCGCAGCTTACTTTGAAATCTGTGTTAGGGAAATCGCTTTTCGCTGGTGATAAATTTAATTATCATAGCAACAGTTGCAAATTTGTGCAAATTTCAAAAGTGGTATTTTGAAAAATAATAAATCTTAAATCTAACAGATGCGTAGAAATATTTCTGATCGATTATTGATAAAATTACTGAAATTGGTCCTGAAATTACTGATCTTTTGCTACACGTTCCATTTATGGTTTTCACAAAGTGTACCCCCATATAGAAATCCCAGACGTAGTCCTACGTCAAAAAATTTTGATAAAGATTCAAATTATGTTTAAAAATAAAATAATGTTTAACAATATTTCTGAAGTTTTCATAAATTTTCTGAAGGTCTCTGTGCTGAATCTCTTGGAACATCTTAAGGGTTCTCGATTTTCATTCTCGAAAGATCACTAGATCTAGCTTTTCTGAGATAAATAGAACTTCTTAAAAGTTTCCCCAATTTTGCTAGCACGAAAATTCAAGACATTAAAAATGTTGTGATATTAGACTTACTAAAATGAAGTAAAGTTGTTTCTCTAAAACTGATTGTCATGTCTTAAAAACGTTTGCGTTAATTTTTGTTGTTGTTGTTTTGAAAAAAAACATATTTTTATGAATTACTAGCTGAGTGTGCCCGGTCTTGCTCGGGATTCAATATTAGCTTGAGTTTATGCGCCGATTTAAAAAAAAGCATGCTATATTGTACGTAGCCCCCCCCCCCTATTATCTAAGGGGCTACCCCCTATGATTATCTCCTTATACCCCCACACTCGCCCCCACATGCCTAATTTGGTTCCATTTGCTTGATTAGTTCTCGAGTTATACAGAAATTTCTGTTTCATTTGTATGGGAGCCCCCCCTTACAGAAGGAGGAGGGGTCTCGAACCATCATAAGAACCTTCCATGGCCCCAAAAACCCCTGTATACAAATTTTCACGCCAATCGGTTCAGTAGTTTCCGAGTCTATAAGGGTCAGACAGACAGACAGACAGACAGACAGAAATTCATTTTATATATATAGATAGATAAGCCTAGAAATTATCCACCAAAGTTATGGAAAAACCTGGAAAAGTCAGGGAACTTTATTTAGCCAAATGAGTGGACACCCAGTAGATAGAGAAAGACGATTAAACGTCAAATAACTCTATACAAGGTCGTCAACTTCAAAATTTTCAAAAATTAGGACAAAATGTAGGCCTAACCTAAACACGCCAAGAAAAATGGTTACTCTTGAAATAAATTCACGTTAAAAAAGTTTAAAATAATGACTGATCACAAGAAAAAGTTACTTTAGTGACTTGGCCTTAAAAAAGGAGACTTTTTAGTGACTGGCTTAAAAAAAAGTGACCAAGTCACTAAAAAGTGACTCACTACCAGCCCTGAAATTAGCAAATACACAAACCTTTCTTCTGAGGTTGAAATCTTTGCTATGCAATTTGTTCGACAGATGCCACAATTGTTCCTGTCGCATAGTGGGTCTTGATGTATTGTCATCTTTTTTTTCTAAAGAAAATTAACGTGAGTCCATCTTCTTTCATGATAAGATAGAAACAATATGTTTTCAGGTACATTTTCTAATCAATCGAAGGAAAAAACAAATTTTCTTTGATTTTTGACTTCTTCTACCAATACTAAAAAAAAAATCAAAACGTATTGCCTGCTGCTTCCCTTCAATGATTGAAAAATGGGCATACGAAAATTTTCCCACACTAAAAAGGTTGCGACCTTCCGACTGTCCGGCTCGAATAAATTATTCTATTTGTACCCATCTAATCGACTGCCCACGTAATAGATTCCTCCTCCCAAATGGAATCAGCTCAAAACAAACACCGAACCAGAAGTTCACTAACGATTCCCGCTTTCACTTCTTGCCTTCAACATTATAGCCGCTAATCACGAACGTCACCCCCGCCGCGGTTATGGCAGCCCGTTACCGCAAAAACTCCACGACGAGTCCCATCGTTATGCCACCGGCTCATCGGATGGCTCACTCGCACCAGTCCCTGTATCAGCCGTCCCCATTCTCGTCCTGCAGCATGGTCTTCGATGGGTTCGACGATGGCGAAGGTGATGGTGGGCGTCGCTTCTGGAAGCAAAAACGTCCAACTGCCACCGGACAGGTCAATGGAAATGGTGCTGCTGGACCACCACTGATGACTGCCAATGGCGATGGTGGAGACGCTGCCACCGCTGGTGCCAATAAAGAATCTCAAATTACCGGCAAGATCGGATTTTCCGTCTACCGGAACTACTTCAAAGCTGTGGAGAGTGGGCTTCTGTTGGGGACGGTTGCGGTGCTGTTCCTGTTGGCGCAGGTCACCATGAGCGGTATCGATTACTTCATCTCGCAGTGGTAAGTGGAGTGTGAGCTTTATGGTTTCCGGATTTAGGAAGAACTTTTAAGCTAGATTTGAAAAAAAAACTTGCATCATCACTAGTATTTTACTCATGTATTATTCAAACCGCTGTACTCCATTAGAACGAGTCCTATACACGTGTCGTCTCTTTTGCATTTGAATAAGAAGCACCATCCAGTGAAGGGAACATGCAGAATATACATCATAACGAAACACTTCCACACTGGTGGTATCCATCATTTTGAAAACGTGTCGAATTAGCATAATCCTAACCAATCTCCTTGTGGAGCAAGCCTGATTAGAACGGTGGGAAAATAGTGCCTGACTAATCAAAATTCCAATTTCAATTCCCACCTCCACAGGGTCAACCAGGAGGAGTTCCTCAGTCGGAATGCCACGGTCATGGAGACCAACACCACCACCGATGGCGGTATCGGACCGAACAAACTGGCCGGGACCATTTTTGCCGAGCTCACCCGAGAGCAGTATCTGTTAATCTACTCGGGGGCGATGACCGTGATGCTGTGCCTGTCGCTGAATCGATCCTTCTCCTTCTTCTACCTCTGCCTGAGGGCGTCCATTCGGCTGCATGACCAACTGTTCCGCGGCATCACTCGGGCCACCATGTACTTCTTCAACACGAATCCCTCCGGAAGGATTCTGAACCGATTTTCGCGCGATATCGGTTGTATCGACATCTTTCTGCCGTCCGCCATGATGGATTGCATACTGGTAGGGGCAACGGTGCCACTCGTGTTAATTAGAACCGAAGAAATTTGATTCCTTTCCCTTTCGCTTTTTGCTTCAGTTCTTCGTGGAGTTTACTGCCATCATCAGTCTGGTGGCCATCGTCAACTACTGGCTTCTGTTGCCAACGGCCGTCATGGGAGTTCTGTTCTACGGTCTTCGCCATATCTACACCAACACGGCACGCAGTATCAAGCGCGTGGAAGCGCTGAGTAAGTTTACCCTTTACACATACACACACACACACACACATAGAATGCAATTATCTTTAATCACCCTGAGAATCACGTTTGTCTGTCCATGTGTATTTTGCAGCACGCAGTCCAATTTTCTCGCACGCCAATGCGTCCTTCCAGGGCCTGACGACGATTCGGGCCTTCGGGGCGGAGAAAATCCTTGCCTACGAGTTCGATAAGCATCAGGATCTGAACACTTCGGCGTGGTACCTATTTCTGGCGACAACCCGGGCTTTCGCCATCTGGTTGGAGTTGGTGTGTGTGCTGTACATTGCCGTGGTCACGTTCAGCTTTCTGCTGATGGAGAACAGTAAGTAGCACCCAGTAACGTAGATTGATAAATCGGAGATCGGAAATCGGAAATCAGAAATCAAATGGAATAAACCAATTTTCATAATTGTGAAATCATAAATAATAAAGAACGAAATATAATGAGGGAAACAGAAAGATAAGAACATTATTAATGAAAAAAATAGTAATAGATTAGAAAAAATAAACCAGAAAAACAAAGGGCCCAATAAGAGTAAACATTATTTAAAAAAAAGTAAATAAACACGATAATAATTGGAAAAAGAACTAAAAAAGAAAATAAATTCAACAGCAGACGAAAAGAAGAAAAAGGAATAGATGAAAATATGGGAAACACTATACAATATACAAATCAGAAGTAGAAAAGTTCGAAAAGTAGTAAATAAAAATAGATGCACTATCACTACATGACAAAACAAGGACCCAAAAAAAAAGAATATGGGAAAAACCTTCCAAAGACGTGATCATTAAGATCGAAAATATTGGAAAGTGAAGAAATATATAAACATGATAAACATAAGAAAAGCAAAAACAAAAAAAAAAGAATGGAGAAACACAAAAACTAAAAAATATTGAAAAAGAATCAAATATAAGAAATCATGAATCAGCAGGCAAGAAAGAAATCACAAATCATAAGTGGAATAAAAATTTAAAAGAAGACTGTAGTAAGAAGGAACAAAGTATTTCTTCTTGATTATAGTTAAAGATGAAATATAGTGGTGACCCGATTTTGTCAGCCCCCGATTTTGTCCACCCCCAATTTTATCAGCTTTTTGACCCGATTTTGTCAGCCTATAGGATTCAATTAGTTTTGGTTGAGGTGGACTGTTTTGTACAGTCGTATTCGTATTTTATTAATTGTCTAGCTCAATAATGACATTTTTCGAGAATTAAATGTGCAGTGGTGGCAAGATCAAAGCAGGGGGAGGGGGGTTGAGGGGCTAGTTGAAAAATTATGTATGAGTGTTTTTTTTTCTTTTTTTTTCATAGTAAGGTATAGGACAGCTTCAAGAAGCCTGGCCTGTAGTGAAGTTGGCACGGTGTGGTATCCACTAGTTGCCTAGTACAGCTCCACTAAAACCCATTCCTTACTCTCTCCTCTGCCTGGATCCCCCGGGAACAATGTGAATCAACTACTTCGGAGGGTGGCTGTGCTCATGCACTTGTCGTACACTCAGCGCTAGTTGGCGTTGCTAGATCGATGCTCTTCTTTTAGGCTGCAGCTCCGACATAACCTGCGTGACTGCCCTGCTGACGGCATTCCAAGTGTCCTCCTCTCGACACATTTCAACGACGACATTCTCCATGTTAAGGACGGGCATCTCCGTTCGCACTGCCTCGAACCTTGGACAGTCGAAGACCACATGCTCCGGCGTTTCATCGACGTTGCCACACTCCGGACAGAGGGGTGACGCTGCGTGTCCGAACTGCTGCAGGTATTTCCTGAAGCAGCCTTGGCCAGACAGGAACTGCGTTAGGTGAAAATTGACTTCTCCGTGTTTTCTGTTCACCCAGGTCGAAAGAATCGGTATTAGTATTTGTGTCCATCTATCGTTCTCCGTCGTGTTCCACTCCTGTTGCCACTTAGCCAATGACTCCACTCTCACAACTTTCCGTACTCTTCCGGCTTCTCTCCACCTGTAGCACTCGCTGTCCTCCACCAGGGTGATGCCAATTGGGATCATACCGGCGATAACGCATACTGCTTCCGACGAGATGGTTCTGTACGCACTCACGACTTGCATGGCCATGAGCCGGAACGTACTGCTCAGTTTCCTTTGGTTCTGCTTCGTTTCCAGCGCTGGAACCCAGGCTGTACCTCCATATCTCAGTATCGATGATGACACGTTGGCCAGAAGACGCCTCTTGCTACTGCTGGGACCAGCGTTGTTCGGCATGATTCTAGCTATCGCGTTGATGGCCTTCGAAGCCTTCTCACAGGCATATTCGACGTGGCTGTTGAAGTTTAGCCGGTCATCGATCATCACTTGCAGGTAATTTTACACACGCTTCGAGGCTATGGTGTGCTCCCCGACGGTGATTTCTGCACGCCGTACCGCTTTACAGTTACTGACCAATAACACTTCCGTTTTGTGGTGGGCTATCTGCAGCTTCGCTTACCAATCATGTCGATTGCCTCGGTTGACAACACTTCCACCTCTTCCAGCGTCTCGCCTGTTACCGTCAAGACGACGTCGTCCGCAAAGCCAACGATCTCAACTCCTTTGGGCAGTTTCAGCGTTAGCACGCCGTTGTACATCCCTTTCCAGAGCGTTGGACCAAGGATGGGGCCTTGTGGAACTCCCGCTGTGATCCTAATCGATCTCAGTCCCATGTCTGTCCCGTAGACCAGAACGCCGTTCTGGAAATAACTCCTCAGGATCCTGCACAGGTAGTCAGATAGCCTCATTCTATTTATGCAGTGCTTCGGCGATGGCCTCCCAGCTGGCGCTGTTGAACGCATTCTTGACGTCGATCGTTATCATGGCGCAATATCGATCTCCTCTCCGCTTCTGTTTGGACGCCTTCGCAGCTCTCTCGACCACTGTTTGAATTGCATCCACCGTCGCTCTCCCTTTCCGGAACCCAAACTGCTTCTCCGACAATCCGTGCTCACTCTCCGTGTATTTCGTCAGCCTGTTTAGGATGATCCTCTCCAAGAGTTTTCCGAGTGTAACCAGCAGGCATATAGGCCTGTACGATGCTGGATCTCCCGGCGGTTTTCCTGGTTTCGGCAGCAACACTAGCTTCTGTATCTTCCACCTGTCAGGGAAGTGACCCTCGTTCAGGCATTTCTGCAGCACCATCCTGAACATGTCCAGGGATGACTGGTTCGCCGCTTTCACCGCTACGTTGGGGATTCCATCCGGACCGGGAGCTTTCTTCACCTTCAATCCTTTCACCACTGCTACGAGTTCCTCGTTGGTGACTTCGACGTTATCTCCCTCTCCTTCTCCGTACGATGTAGGTGGCCAGGTTGTTGGGTCGTGCTTTGGGAAAAGTCCTTCCACGATGACTTTCAGCACATTTCAGCGGGCATCGTTGGACCTCTGATCTTCGCCATCACGACTCGGTATGCGTCGCCCCAGGAGTTGGCATTAGCGTCTCGACACAGCTCCCTAAAACAGTTCGACTTGCTCTGCTTAATCTCTCGTTTAAGTGCGGCCCTGGCCGCTCGAAACACTTCTCTTCGTTCCTCTCTGTCTGCTTCCTTTCTTGCTCTCTGAACACGTCTTCTGGCTCTGAGACAACTAGCGTGGAGAGTGCTAAGTGCCTCGTTCCACCAGTAGACTGGACGCCGTCTGTTATTTGGGTCCAGTTTCCTCGGCATGGTCGTGTCACATGCTCTCACTAACGTTTCTGTCAGCTCGTCCGCATTTACATCTGCGGGACTCCTGTCCTGTCCTTGTCGAAAGCCTTCGTCTTCCACTTTCGGTCACAAGTTCTCGTCCTCCGTACTGCCACAGTATTCCGTTGGCAGATGCCATATCGTATCGCCTGATGGTCGCTATGGGTATATCCTTCGCACACTCTCCAATCCATGTTTGCCATCAGCGACGGACTGCAGAAAGTAACGTCGATAATGGATTCCCGGCCATCTCTGCGAAAAGTGCTGTTGGTGCCTTTATTGGCCAGCATAACTTCCAGTTTTGCCAGAGCTTTCAGCAGACTGTGCCCTCTTGCATTGGAACATCTGCTTCCCCACTCCACTGCCCAAGCATTGAAGTCTCCTCCGATGACTACCGGTCGTCGTCCGATCATCTCTTCGGTAAGTCCATCCAGCATCTCATGGAACTTCTCCATCGTCCATCTGGGGGGGTGCGTAACAACTACACATGAAGATTCCGTTGATTTTGGCGATCACGAAACCTTCGTTTGAGCTCGCAACCACTTCTTGAATGGGGTATCTGCCCATAACTTGTATAGCAGTCATCCCAGCTCTATCCACCACCCAGTTACCGTTATTGGCAGGGACTCGATACGGTTCCGCAATGATTGCAACGTCGCACTTTTTTTCTGTTGTCGACTGCCACAACAGTTGCTGAGCAATATCGCAATGATTGAGGTTTATTTGGGTTACCTCCATTACTGTTGGCCTGCCATCACCTTTTTGTATGCTAGGCATTTGAAGCCTCCCGTCGTATGATCGTTACCGTCCTCTTTTTTGCAGAGCATTCACCTCGGTTGCTTCGTGCAGCCTCTTGCAATATGGCCTTTCTCTCCGCATTTCCTGCACAGATCAGATCTTTCAGGGCCATTGCAGTTCCTCGCCTGGTGACCGAATCCCATGCACTTGAAGCATCGCTCCAATTGCTTGGTAACCCGAGGAGTGGCTTTCAGCGAGCACAATGACCAGCCAACCTTGACCTTGCCCGTCTCCAACAGTTTATTCGCTGCAACTGTCGAAAGCCGTATAACCACCGTTTGCATGCCGCCGTACGCCTTCCTCATGCGGATTGACATCGGGACATCTCCCAGATCGCAGTGCACCCTCAACGCACTTCTTAGCTCCTCTTCTGTGGTGATCTCGTCCAGGTCCCTGCACTCGACCGCTGTCTCCTGGGATAGAGCTCTTACGCTCGCCCCTTCGCCAAGAGACTTTTCGACGAGCTCCTTGAAGGCTGAGCTCTTGATAGCAGGATCCTTCTTCAGCTCAAAGAGCATCTCGCCTTTCTGGGTGCGCCTGGTTTTCACCACGTTCTCTCCTAGTTGCTTCAACAGAAACATAAATTTGTGGACTTTCACACGCACAGCTCAGCGAATGACCTCACACTATGCACGAAGCTCAAAGCTGTGTTTCTAATGTACCAAAGCAGAAGTGTGTGTGAAAATCTCTACAAATTTCATTCAAACAATTTTAATATGGGGCCCATGCAAGTCTACTTTATGCACTATGCATTATTATTGTTGTTCTTACAGAAAATGCTTAACCACATATGCATTGAGTGGCCATTCAATTCTTACCTAAGTCCAATTAGAAACCCAGCAACCCCCCCCCCC